GTTTCGGTTTTTTTTCCCCACACCTGTGTGTTTAGTTTATCTTAACTTAGATTGGAATTCCTTTGTGGATTCTGTTCAAATAGAGTTGTGACGAGAGGCTCACAAAGCAGCACTTCACATCCACGTATCCCGGTTTGAGTTACCACCGCAAATAACTCTGAAGTCATCTATGCTCAGTTATGTATTTTGAACCTTTGAGACAAATAAATACTCTAAGTGTGAATCATTTTTGCTATCTTATCCCTTTGCCTGCCAGTCTTTTAGTTTAAGGAAAAACCAACTTATTGTTTCTGACATACTGATTTCCCAACACATTACCCCCAGTACAGACACACAGTTCTTTCCTGTCTGTGCAGTCATCTTCTGATATTTTCCTTAAATCTGATTGCTTGCTTTGTTTGTTCACTGCCTTAACTGTCACTTCATTTTTTTGGCCATCATCTTTATTATTGCCTGATGAAGTGAATAGTGGAGGAGAGGGGAAGCCGTGTATACCAACTAAATACCACACTGATCAAAAAAGCAAATTTTCATTTTGGTAGCTAGAAGAAAATGGCAGGAAAATGTAGTTTAAGAGGTGAGCAAAGCTAGGATTTTGCAAGTGGAAGCAGTAAGACTCGGATGTGGCCACGTCGCTGGGTAGCTGGTGTATCGTAGAGACGCAAGTCAGTGAAGTCAAAGAACCAGGAGGAGAAAGTATCAAGTGTCATCCGTGTGTACGTTGAAATCACCATGAAGCACAAGGATGGCGCACGGGGGAGAAGGCAGGGGAGTGGAGGCTGAGCTTCTTTCCGAAGTTATCTAGTGGGGGTGATGCTGAGGGCGCAGAGCTCCAAGCAGGCGGCCAGCACTGGGAATGAGAAACGGGGTGTTAATCATGGAAGATCCGTAGGGTGGAAGCTGTATCGGGAGCAGGAAGTTTCTCATCGAGTCAGGGATTCTGTGAGAAGAGGCAGGCAGTGAGAAAGATAGGCGTCTGTTCGGGCAAATCATCATTCACTCATTTGACGAACACAGACGAGGCCCCGTCACGTGCCAGGTCATACACACAGTGACACAGTGTGTGCGGCTGTGAAGTATGTGATTGAAGAGAAAGACGACAAGTGTTTTTAAAATGTCTGTGAAAAGGACGTAGTAAAGTAGGGCAAGGTACATGGGAGACAGTCTCTTCTTAATTCCTGAAAAATAGTACTTTGGTAATGGTGACATAATACTGTTTTGTTTTATATTTTTCTCAAGAGCTGAAACTTCACCCTCTATTCAGCGATGTGGACTGGGAAAACCTACAGCATCAAAGTATGCCTTTCATACCCCAACCAGATGACGAAACAGATACATCGTATTTTGAAGCCAGAAATAATGCCCAGCACCTGACCATATCTGGATTTAGCCTATAGCGCACACATTTTCCCTTTAGTCAGTCTTGCCGTAGAGAATAAGTAGCATAATTGCATATGCCTTAACACCAGATTGATCTAAGGGAAAAAAAGGCATTATTTTACCTGGATCAGTGAGCTTCCTGCGCGTGTTACAGCTGCCACAGCGTCAAAAGGCTATTATAATCAGTAATTTATATTAATCTCAGCGTTGTATATAGATCTTCAAAGCTTTTTTCCCTCTTATTTATTTTGTCACTGCACTTTATTTACATTCAGTAAAACTAGAATGCCATTACCACTTGAAGAGTGAGCCTCAGGCTTGGTGTTCTTCCTCATCTGTTGATTTCAGTCCACCATTCAGCTTGGTGTTAATACAACAGAAACATCATACAGCTTTATTTTAGTGTAATTTACCCGCACTTGGTTGCCTGCAAAAGCCGTATTCTCTTGGGCAATCCTTTAAAGCTGTACTTGTGACCTCAAAAACGCTGCTGGAAAATTCCTTCACTTAGTACTGTAACTCCTTTCAGGAATGAGGGCTAAACAAAAGGACTAAGGTTTGGGTTTACTTTGCTCTGAATACAGTTCTGCTGCCTTGACTGCTTCTGGTGCTTTTTCTACAATACATGTTTGTTTAAAATAGTACTGCAAAGCTTAGGTGTGATACACTGTAGGAATTTTAACAGCCTATTCAATTTTAACAAAAAAAAGGATCATTTACTTTTAAATAATTTGTTTAAAACATATGCGGCATTACCAGAATAGCCTAATTCTAAAAAATAAATAAATAACTTACTTTTGCTTAATAAATATAATTGTAACATACTTCGCTGTATTAGCTGTCCACTATCATTTTTAATTTTTTTTTACTATTTTTTTTGCAGGCAGAGGTAGTTAATTTTTAGAGGAGTTACTGGGATTTGAACCCAGGACCTCATGCATGCTAAGCATGCGCTCTACCACTTGAGCTATACCTTACCCCCTCTTTTAAATATAGATACACGAAGATTCAGCTTCACAGGTCATATCTTAAATTCATTGAGGTTTTCTGCATGCTTACCCCCCCAGAGAGAAAAGTTCAAATTTAAATGTACCAGGTGTAGATTTTCTGCTAATCTGTTAAATACTATTGTTCCTTTTGCAAAATGGCTTTAGTGTTTCTACTTTTCATTACCATCCCAGTAAGAGCCCTGTTATTACCTGTTATTACGCAGTTGACAAAGATAATACAAGTTTAAAACAGTTACAGTGAAAGGGACACCTTTATAATCAGTGCTATGTCACTGAACCCATGATTTAAAGGTTTTACTGGGCTTATTTTAGTAATGACTACTTAGATTTAATGCTCCTAATAGTCACCTCTTCCAACAATATGTTCAAAATACAGTTGTTAAAACTTTGTTTAATATAAATTACATCCTTCCCTTAAATTAGGTAAAAGCTGGGATTATTTATCGCCCTCTTACTGACCTTTCAAGTAGGAGAAAGAGCAGTGGTGGCTTTGGAATCAAGCAAAAATGGTTTAAACCATTGGTCTGCCACAGTAAAAATCCTTGGGCAGGTTAAACTCTGTGCATTTGTCTCCCTGTATTGAGCAGATTAATAATACGAAGCAAGCTGGTCCTTAAAGGAACTGCCCAGGACACCAGTCTCATCAGGGATTTGAAACATGACTAAATAATCAGGGGAAATGTATAGTGAGCCTACTCCCAGCACAGGAGATAGTGCCCTTAAGTGGAAAAAGTAAGAATAGTTTGTTGTTACAGAGCTGGCAGGTGCAGCGACAGTCACCTGGAGTTCTGCATGCTGTCATGATGTTTACTGGGAACAAGTGACTTACTATCTAAACTTAAGCCTGTAAGACACCTGTCAAGTTGTTGTGGCTTCAGACACTCATTAAGGAAATACCTGAGACAGAACAAGAAAAATGGGAGTGTTTTGGCAGTTGTGTGGATTGTGTGTACATACGTGTCTTTAAAGACAGATTACTCTGCCAGTAAAAATCTGTGCATCCATTGCTAACTATAATGTTTATTAATTGGAAATAGTTTTCACCCCACTTCCAGTGACTGTTAAACAAATACAGAAAATATTTTAAGTGGTACCCCGGTGTACCTTTGTCAGAATTTAAATAAGACAAAGTACGTAGCAAACATAAGAGATGTTTAATAAATGATCATTATTTGAGCCCTATGTACCCTACTACTTCTTAAATATCTGTCTTAATGTTGGCTTTGGGTAATGGTTGCTGTATAAAACCCCGCCCTTGTTCTCTAAAACATCTCGAAGGACAGTTTCAGATCTAATCATTCTGCCAGAAAGAACCATCTTGTTTTTAGCCAGTTACAAACAAGCTCAGAGTCCAAAAGAGTGTGCAAATATTTACCGTTTCCACCAGGCCTCCTTTCAATTAATACCAAGCCAACCATGGATGGGTCATTCTTATCTCTGTGGAAAGTAGCTTGGTCAGAGCAACATTTGAAGGAGGAAGACAGAATAGAAAGCTATTGAATCAGCCCACCTGGATTCAAGATGTATTTTAGAGGTAGAATCCGTAGGACTTACTGACACATGAGGTGAGGAGGGTGAAAGAATGGGAGTTTTGAGCTTGTTTGTTACACAACATTATTGTAGCAGCTATTTTTCCTATACGTAGCAAGTGATAACACACTGAAACTGCAGACCCTGGAACAAAGAGAAGATACTATAAGCATCCGAAGAGCAAGAAAAAAGACTGGTATGAGACAATGGAAAATACACATATTGGTCTCTGTCTCCCGTTCCCGGTACAGAGCTCCCCAAACTCTTGTGATTTCCTAAGTGATAAGAGCATTAGGAACATTCTGTTGTTGTTCTAATATTTGGTCTTTGACCCTTGGTTCCTGTCCCAGGGCTCCTAGACCCCTTGGGGTTTCCTGAGTGACAGCCGTGTGTTTTGGTCTAATGAGGTGACGATGGGTCACCAAAAGGACCAAGCTATGATTAGAAGCTTGGGACTTTCAGCCCCACCCTCCATTCTCCAGAGAAGGGAGAGGGGCCGGAAATGGAGTTTACGTCTGCGCATGCCTGCGTGAGACTAAGCCTCCATAAAAACCCCCAAAGTGCGGGGCTCAAAGAGATCCTAGTTGGTGAACACATGGAGGGGCTGGGAGGGTGGCGACCCAGAGAGGGCATGGAGGTGCCACACCCCTTCCCACACAGCCTGTCCTGTGCCTCTCTCCTGCCTGGGTGTTCACCTGTATCCTTTACCATTTTCCACCTAAGACCAACTGTACGTATTTAAGATGGCTGATTAAGGCTGCACTGAGAAGCTGGAGGAGGCCACCGATTTGGAGTAAGAACTGAAATTAAGATTTTGACAAGATCAGTAACAGTCTCAACCAAACGACTAAATGAGTTAAACTTCACCCAGGTGCTGATTTTTATAAAATGATATGTAATAGCATGGCTTAATCAATGCAATGCCAACAGTAACAACTAATAAAAACCATAACATTTCTCATTAACCTTTTATTTTTAACTTGGTTTTACAATAAAGAAACAAAAAAGAAGTAGATCGTTAAAAAAATACCATAGCTGTCAATTTAAAATTTTAAATGAGGTTCTTGTTAAACAAAGCGGTACCACTATATCCTATAATTTCATCTTTACTTGTATATACAAGAACTGTGTGCAAAGTGCTTTTCAAACTATAAAATAAAACTTTGGAATAGGATACAAATAGTTATACCTAGGAGTTAGTAGCCCCCAACTGCTTCAATGAATCACAACTGCTTTCATTCTTAATTTGCATCTTATTTATTTACATACTAAGAGAAAAAGCCACCATTTTCTGATACCAGATTGATAGCTAATTTTTGAAAATAATCCCCGATCCACAGGTCTAAGTTTTATTTCCACTTATAATGCAGAGTTACTTGCTTCATTTTTTTTTCCTGAAATAAATAGAGGACAGTTTTTAAAAAGCAAATAGTAGTAGATCCCTTGAGACAAGACACATTTTAATCAAGACGGGATTAAAAAATAAAAAACATCAAGTTACCTGTAAGGAAAAAAGAGTCTTAGGAAAAGCAAATCATATTCTTCTGCTTTTTTCTTCAGGTAAACAGAGAACCACCCTCAATACTAGGGATGGGTTACTTTCTTATTGAAAACACTCTGAACACATGATGTTAAACTCAACATCATACATACCAAGAATATTTTTTAATTATTTGATACTAAGCCTTTGACTCAGACAAATCTTTAAAGCACAAGGTACATCTACATGAGAAGGTAGTTTAAAAGGTATACAGCAAGAGTCATTCCAAACAAAGCCTGCAAGGATCCAAATGTGGTAGGTTGGTGGGGGAGGGGAGACACTTAAATTTACACCAGTTGGGTATGTCTTGTTCACGTGGAAGCACATGGCCTGCTAGCTTGCAAATCCTTCCAGTACCCTGGTGAAGTAGGTTTATCGCAAATACTACCCCCGAAGGAAAACCTGAGGCACTAAGAGGTTAAGAGTCCAGTCTGTGTAGTTTATCAGTTGCAGAAAAGCGATTTTCATGTGTTTCCTTTTTAACCTTTGTAAAAACAGTATAAATAAGTTTTCATTTTATATCAAAGCACCCTATGAAGCAGAAACAAGATATCCTCAGTTAAAGAAAAATGATTACGAAGGAATCGGTGTATGTGATTGAATACAAATCTTATGCATGATCTGCAGGTTGAGAATACACTGTCAAACCTACTGTAGGCCCCTCTTCATCACTTTCATTAGCAGGTTATGGCCATTCTGTGAATCATTTGTTAAAACTAAGCCAAGTACCTAGGACTCTACTTTGTCATAATGATGCCTGAACACTAACGTTAGAGCTGTGAGCCCAAGAAAGATTACGGGTGGGCAGCCCACGAAGTGGATGGACGTGGAGAAGATCCTTCCAGCCATTTTCTACTCCTTGGCATGGCGCTTCAGTGACTAAGAAAGCAAGCCGATTTAATCTCACTTGAAACACTCCTGCTTTGCATTCTTGCTCATATTTAATTTGGAAAATTAAAAATACCCAGTTACAAATCTGTTGTCATGATCACAACTGTACCTTTGGAAAAGCAGCTTATATTTCTCTATGGGAGATAGTCAGGTAAACATGTTACCAAACAATAATTAAATGTCCTTCAAGTTCAAGGGTGGGGTAAATAAATCTATGTATGCTACTTGTAACCTAGTTGAGACTGATTATTCAAGTATCAGCAATATTAGTCCTTAAAATGTTATCATTTGTGTAGTGCAAAATGTATGTATGTATATATGTACACAAACCAAACTACTGGACAACAAAAAGAAATGTAACCATCACAAACTAGGGTTCTCGTGTGAGCTCCACAATCCATCGTATTCCGAGGTCATCCAGGCCAACAGTCCTCTTCGGCAAGTGTCATGCTCTTCAGTTCAGTTTTCTTTAAAAAGAAAGGCAGAAAAAAAACCAATTTCCTATGAGTATAAATGTAACCTGAAAATGAAACACATCCATACCAAAGAACTGGCTGAACGGTAACACAACAATCATATTCAAATTCAAAATAAGACCGTAAAGTTACAAGTGATTCTTATGAAATTACTTCACATCACTTGGGGCTCAATAGGAAAGATCCAGTTGCAAGGGATGACATTACCAAACAGCTCTGGTTTCTTTTGCAATTGAAGTACAGTTGATTTACAATGTTGTGTCAGTTTCAGGTGGATAGCAAAGTGATTCAATTATACATACATTTTTTTTTCTTTTTCAGATTCTTTTCCATTATAGGTTATTATAAGAAGTTGAATAGAGTCCCTGGTGTTATACAGTAGGCCCTTGTTGCTTATCTGTTTTATATACAGTAGTTTGTATCTGCCAATCCCAAACTCCTAATTCATCCCTCCTCCTGCAACCAAATAGTTTGTAATAAACAATTTAAATGTACATGCCTCCTCTCATAGCTTCTAGATTCTCATCTTTTTCCAGTTGGCTGTTCCACAGTTCAGATATTTGCCAGTTATTCCATAATATCATCAAAAGGAAAAAGTTGTGAAACAATAAAGCGTAATAAAACAACAGACGGTTGATAGATATACAACCTGGACTGTTCATTTAATCAACACACATTATGTATCTGTTACTTTTCAGGCACTCTGCCAGGTACTCGGGATTCAGACGTCCACGAGGCAGGCTCTCAGCCCTCAAGAGAGCTCTCAGCTAATTGATGGGGTGCCAGGGGTACATAATAACCAGCAACTCAGATATGAATAATGTGGCGGTATTAATGACAACAGAGTAAGCTACCAGAAAAGGATGGGCTTGTTAGCACAACACAGAACAATCACAGATGCTCTGAATTCTGCAAAAGGTCTCACTGCTGTAAAATCTCTATACCCTCCTCAGCATTCCAGATGCCACAGTGTCTGAAACTTTCATTATTTATTCTTTTCCTCTGTAGAAATACTCCTATGCAATCTTCTTGGCAGGAGTGGTATTTTAAATAATCAGACCATTTCTTATCCTCTGCATAAATCTTCTAATGTACACCTTGGCAGGAGGGACATTTGAAATAATCAGATGGATTTTCACATAACCGGAGGAGGAGATTACTCATGGCATGAAGAAAAAAGGCCCCTGGAGGAACAGAGTCATGGGTGGTTCCAAAGACTGGCTGCCTGAGTGAGGCTTTAGCAGAAATGCTAGCTGGGAGGTACCTGAACAGTTATCAACACTTCCTAAGTGGGGGAGAGTATAGGTCAGCGGCAGAACATGTTATTAGCATGCATGAGGTTCTGGGTTCAATCCCCAGTACCTCCATTAAAAATAAATAGATAAACCTAATTACCCCGCCCCCTCAAAAATAAAAAAAATAAAAAACACTTCCTAAGAACCCACGTGATGCAAATTGCTATATAAAGTCCTTCGCAGCTTTACCAGAAAGCACACAATCTGGTCTATGAACTCTCCAATCTTCAATGTAATAGGGAAACAGACATAAATCATTATTGCTATCTTCAGAATCTGGGGATGTTTTTCAGGCTTTCAGTGAGATTCTTCTCTCCTTTTTAAAAAAATTAACTTGGAAAATGTAGGGTACAGCCTGACAAAAGAAGAAAAGTTACGCAAAACAACAGATGAGAAAATTGGAGTCACATCCTGCCTTTCCCCAGCCCGCTGAACTCTCAGCCCTGCTGAGAGTCTCTCCTGCCTCACTGGAAGTCTGGGCCTGACTTTCTGGTCCAGGACCACCTTCTCCAGGCTCCACTGAAGAATGTTTCTCCTGAGATCTGCCCCCACCTTATCCAGTTTTTACTGGATAAAAACTGAACACTCATTGTCTCCAAGGAAACAACATGCTGGCAAGGTCATGAATCTGGGCACACTGATAAAGAAAAATGGTTAGAAATATCCTTTCCTTCAAAGTACAGGCATCCTTTGACGATATTGCAGGTTTGGTTCTGGACCACCGCAATACAGTTAATACCGCAATAAAGCAAATCACACAAATGTTCTGGTTTCCTGGTACCCACACTATAGTGTAGTCTATTAAATGTGCCATAGCATTATGTCTGAAAAAAACAATGTACAGACCTTAATTAAAAATTGCTTAATTGCTAAAAAATGCTAACTATCATGTGAGCCTTCAGCAAGCCGTAGTAGACACATCAAAGATCACTGGTCACAGGTTACCATAACAGATATAACAATAATGAAGAAGTCTGAACTATGTCAAGAATTACCAAAATATAACCCAGAAGCATGAAGTGAGCAAATGCTGTTGGGGAAATGGTGTTGATAAATTGTGACAGAGTTGCCACAAACCTTCAATTTGTAAAAAATGTAGTATCTGCAAAGTGCAACAGTATGAAATGAGGTCTGCCTGGAACAGATTAAGAATAGCCTTGTCGACTGAACGGGTCAGCTTTCAGTTTGTCCCTTGGGGACAATTTTAACAGCAGAATGACCAGGTGAGGTCATCAGGGCCATGTGGTACCACAGGCTCAAGTCTAACAGGAGACAGGGCCGCAGGTGTTGGCTACTCTGCATATCACATACGGAAGGAGTGTTTTTCAGATCCCCTGCAGAGTGATACGAGATCTCTTTTACTTTTAAATTTATATCCTTCTATACTGATGGGGAAAAAAAATCAAGCAGCGGACCTTAAGTATTACTTTTGATGTAAAAAAATCTTTTAAAGCTTACCACAAATAGACAGCCACTTATTTTACATGCGTATAAGGTGATCTCAGTGTGTGTTTGCATCCAGATGCACATACATGAAATAAAATCAAGCTTGTCTGGGGAAGCGGGGTTAGTGGGGTAGAGCTCAGTGGTAGAGCTCATGCTTAGCATGCACAAGGTCCTGAGTTCAATCCCCAGTACCTCCATTAAAAAATAAACCCAATTACTTCCCCCACCCAAAAAAATCAAATCTTGTTCACAATCTACGGTACCTCAGGTGCCATCCTGCCCAGAGTGGGCATTTAGCACATATTTTTTGAAAGTCTCCTACGTGCCAGATACTGTACCAGGGGATGAGGTACAGGATGGCCTTATTATGAGTAGGGCACACCCTCTCCTGGTCACACATCTCCCATCCTAAGAGGATTTCTAGATCTTTCTCTTCATCTCTAACCCAGACCTGTCTTTTCCAAACTAAGCACAATGTCATCTAATCTTCTTTCCTATAACTGTCCGATTAAAAACTGTTAAGCATTGCCAGATTAAAAAATGCCCTAAATCCCCTCCAGGCCAAAACTTATTTCCAAATCTAATACGGCTCCATCTCCAACCCCAGCTGATCTGTTACACATATAATCCAACAGTACATAAAAACAATATATCCCATCAAAGTGCAGTTGTGCAGCACTAAATAATTTACAGTGTGGAAGGACTATACACCTAACATACACTGGAAAACTTGATAAAGATTCAATGATAAAAAAGCAGGAAATTAAAAATAGAGAAAAGCTTCTCCATTCAGAGACATCTGTCAACAACTGAAAGGAACACTTAGGAGAAATGGTAATACTTCTGCTAGTAAGGAATGTTAAAAAGAAATAATTTAGAAAAACTGCAATTTTCAGTGACTGATGAAGCAAAGTATAGTTTGTTTTTTGTCTTTAGTAAAGTGACAAGCTTCTTCAACCTTAGGCATGAAATAAATTATTAACCAAAGCAAACTTCAGGGCTTTTTTTGTCCTGTGCTGAATTTCTCTATTTTTCAATCCCTAACTTTCTGCAAAGACAACATGAAAAGGAACTTTGAAATGCATTGCAAAATACGTAAACACCTCCCTTTAGTGTCCCTGCCACTTAAATCTAGCAAAACCACATACTGAAAAAAGGTTTGGTCCTTTTTTCCTCCTCTTTTCAGGGAAATTAAGACTTAAAAACCTGTATAAGCATCCAACCATCACAGGAAAAACATAAAATGTGCGAATAAAGAAAAGAAAGGATTTAAATTAAGGTCTGTATCTTAATAGCTGAAATGACACAAACAAAGACGAAATAGAAAGAGGGTAAACGATACTGAGAAAGTAACTTAAACTTCTGAAATCCCACTAAAGTTTTTGCAAGTGGGCAAAGCATATGCCCAGAACACCGATGTACCAGAAAACGTATTTAGTTCATTTATGAACATAAATCAAACCATCTTAACATAAGCAGAGAACAGGGAAGACTAAACTGATTCAGCCAATGTCACATGCATGTCAGTTTCTCCACTGTAAAGTATTATCACTGGAGAACTTACACTAGTGGGCTGCTTACCCCTTTTACATAAGACAAGGGTAAATGTTTGGTTTTTGCTTTTGTTATCACTTGTAATAGTTAGAAACCTGGGTCCTCTGGTTGAGGAACAGACCTGTAATTATTTAAACTTGTAGATTTTTTAAAATATATTTCTACTGCACATATTTAAGATAGCAATTAAAATCTTACCATTAAATATTCTATATCTCTTTTCTCCATGTGTTGTTACTTAATGGGAAATGGTGATGAAACACTGTAAACATAATCAGTGAGGCCATGAATGACATAAACATTTGTCCATCTGCCAATCCAGGGAAAGTAATTCAGTTTACATAATGTCCAAAAAAAAAAAGCTTTAAAGATTTTCTTGAACCCAAGAGTTTTGGCCTCAGGTTATTCCTAGTCTAGACCATCTCAGGGCACTTTCAAGGATTCCAATCTATTATTGTCAAACTTATCTGAGTTATTTCCTGGCATCCAAACTGGAATTCTGGCCCTCAAGTTAGAATAAGCCCTATTTTTAGAGACAGTCAACCACCAGGATGAAAATTTTCTGAAACGCCAATGTCTGTATTTCTAAGGTACAGAGAACACACCGACATTATTTGTTTACTTATACGTTGTCCTTTAATATTAGCAAAGGGACCAAAATAAACATCAGACTTGTTGAAGAGCACTGTTTCCTCGTAAGACATAAAACTTAAGCCTATAATCACTTTCTTTTGTTGCCTAAATCAAAGGTGTACAAACGCCATCAGACGTTCTCAAGGGAAAAATATTTAAATCTAACAAGTATCTAGAAACCCACCACGTATCATTTCCAAGGTAGTTTCAGTGTCAGGATCGGTACAGAATGCTCAGTATGACAATCCATAAAATGGACCAATCTCCCCAACTGCTGCTGAAAGCTCTGTCTTCTGTAGATTGTAAGAGTTTACATACCACTTTGAACTATAAAACCATAGTGTTACCTTCTCCTTCTTTGATAATATAAATACACCAACCACTGGGCAATAAAAGGCCATATGATAGCAAAAGTTAATGCACCAGGAGACATCTCAAAGGGCCACCAAGACGGTCTCTGAGAAAATAAAATAAGCCAGTCACCAATCTATTACATATTGCAAGTACAAACTTAAAAACAGACCTAATTCATAATTTTGAAAATATACAGCTAATAATAGATTTCACTCCTGCTAAAGGGAGGGAGATCATTTTAGAACATAATTCAGTAAGTAGACTTTCAGAAGTACTTCAGACTTACTACAAAACAAACGCACTTTAAACTTCAAAGTTCTAAAGGGTAGATTTCATTTGGAACACTTTAAGGATGTCATAGAATCTAAATTTATTGTAATTTATTTGAAACCATGGCACTTAGATTTAAGACAAGAATTCCTTACCGGTGAAGGGGGCTGATTACTGGTCTGTAATGCTGATGATTTTGCCTATAAATACAAATGAAAGTGATTTAGCTTTGAAAAAAAAAATTTCTTTTGTTATTTTTCTAAATAACTTTTTCTATTTTCTTATTTTGTTGTTGTTAAAAGAAAGCTGAAATAATATTCATTTTTGGTTTTTCTGTTAACTGTGCTTTGATTATCATGAAACTCATACTGGCCAAATTAAAAGTTCCTAAAGTTGCTAGCCAAAGAATTATCTTTGACATTTTATGTTTTACAGTTCAAACAATATCAAATTATCAAACTAAAACCTCAAATTAATCTAAAACATTACTTCTTTTACATTCTTATTAAATTGCCTACTCAACATTTCTTATTAATTCCTTAATTTCCACACAACTACCAACTGACAAGCACATTTGAGAACTACAGCCTGGATTATTAAAACTGTAAAAATGTAAAGATTATATAAACAATATCCAAATACCCATAGTGGAGGTCAAATTAAAACTCTACATTTCTCTCTGGCTTGAAAGGTTTGATCCTAAAACTAATTTACAATAAAGAATTGGTAAGTTAGTGTATTACCTCCACAGTATTTTAAAAAGAAGTCAAGACAGAGGACAAAAGGATGACACTTCAGTGATGAACTCTAGGGCATTAGTTAAGGTCTCTTTACTAGTGCCTCACTTTGTACACTATTCAACAGCTCTTACTCCTCTTCCTACCTTCCTGCTAATTTTATATACTGAAAATTTTCTGTAATTTTAAGTGGTATTTGGCTTTTGGGTCAATCTTTTCTGAAATAGTACTTTCAAAAGTAGATCCTTTAAAAACTCATTGAACTGCACTGATGTACGTAAATCAGATTAACACGGATTCCAATGACATGCTGTCTGACCGGATTATCAGGAGAACGAGGTGAGACAAATGTGGAAGCCCACCTGCGAAGCCGTCAGGGTCTCCAGCTTGTGGAGTCTCTGGAGGACGCTCTGCATGTCCTCCTGCAGGCGCATGAGCACAAGAGCAATCTGCTCGTTGAGGCTGCCCCTCGACCCTCTGTCCGAGCCCCAGCGCTCCCCATCACCTCCACTGCCCACTTGCCGACCCTTGTTTCCGTCACTCAAATGCTGCATCCTGTGCCCTGTTTGAAAAGCGAAAGAAGTTAGTTTTAAACAATTCTTATAAAAGCAGAAACGGTGTGTTTTCTTCATTTTCCTCTGCTATTTCTTCGAGATCTAAATCTCCAAAGTGGAGTGGAAGGAATCAGGATGTAAACAAAATAAACTACTGAATTCAAAGAAGTAGACATACACATAAATTTCCATTTACATTCTTACATTTTTTTGCTAAGGTTTTATTTATACTGTACTTAATACAGTCATACATGACTAAATGTACACAAACAATTTGCCCATTTGGGGTACATTCTTAAAAACTCTCTACTAATACAGTAACAAAATTGAAAAAATATGAGGACTATTTCTTTAAAGTATTAAAAGCTACACTAAATGGCCATGTTTTCGTATTTGGTCACTGTAAGCCACCCAAAATGTTTCTGAATGGTTTTTCTTATAAACACCATTATAGAGATGGTGAAAACTCACCACTGCTAAGATTTTGTTGTATATCCAATCACTCTTTTTTCTACACATATATTTGCAGAATTGGCATTATCCCTTATATATAACTTTGTGTCCTACTTTAAAAAAACTATCATGAACGTTTATGTGCATCATTAAATTTTTTTCTAAAAACACTGAAACGGCTACATAAATTCATTTGTATGACCATGAAGTAATTTACTTAATCATTCACCACCTTTAGATAGTTAGAGTGACTCCACATTTTTACGATTACAAATAGCATTGCAATGAGTGTCTTTGGATATAAACTCTTATCCAAATTTCTGTTGATTTAAGACAGACAGAGTCAAAGAAGGGTTACTGGGTCAAAGGATAACAACTCTGTTGTGGTTCTTATTGAGTGTTGCCAAGTTATTTTTCAGAAAGGCTGAAACTGTGTATAAATATTGCAGTGTGTAAAAGGTACCACCATATAACCTTACCCCTGCAGAAACGGAGTATCACAAGTTTTTACATGTTTTCTAATATAATACATAGTTTTGTTTTAAATAATAGAAAGAAAATTGTCTACCTCGTTGCCCTTTGGGATCCTAGAACCCTACAGAAGCAAGATTCCCAAAGCTGAATTTGCATCAAACAGTGTTTGGGGTTGTAGGAGAAATGGAATTGGGAGCAATTTGCCAAGTTAAACCCCAAAGAGTACAATGAAATGCTTGATGCATTTCTCAAGAAAACCTCTGCTCTTGCATCAAAAGGAAGTAAATTTTGAAGTGGTCCTTTCTGAACTCAGCTATTGGTCAGACATGGTCAGATGTTATGTCAGGGTAACTTTCAACATTCTCCCTGCAGACTGATAGTCCCTATGCCTCTCCTATCTAGAACCTCCCATTTCACTGGCTGCTTTATAAAGATAGTGAGAATAAGACACAAGTTAATACCCACCTCTCCCTCTTCTGACGTTAGAGAATTCCTCATTTTCCCCAGCCCGTTTCTCACGGTGCGGCGCTCCACTGTTACTCCTGCCGTCTTCTCCTCCATGCTTTACTTCACCTTTTCCTTCGACTGCTTCTGCCTGCACATCCCCAGTGCTGCCATTTCCAGAAGATACTTGAACGTCTTCAGGAAAACCAGAGCTTTCCAAGGGCTGACTGGGATCACCACGCAAGTAATATCGAAATGGCCCACTGTTTGACGTAAAGCTATCTAAAGACTACAAATTTAAAAACACTTAGTTATACAACACAAAGCTTTCATCACAATAGAAGAATGACTGCTTTTGGGGGGGCAATTAGGTTTATTTACTTAGTTTTAAGGGAGGTACTGGGGATTGAATCCAGGACCTCATGCATGTTAGGCAGGTACTGTACTATATATCCTCCCCCTTGAAGAATGACCGCTTTTATAGAGTTTTTTAAAATGTTATCATAGAAAATATTGTTTTTCTAAAAAATTTCAATTTATATTCTGCCTCCCATATGCAGGGAAGAAATGGGGGTGGGATGATTCATCCATGAGCAAAGAACTGAGATGTTTGGCAGTGAATTGTCCTAATGAGTCAGTCATTCATCCAAGAAACATTTAAATTACCACAGCTACTGTATTCAAAAAGCACTGTTAGAATAGGGGATGAGGAAAGAGTGGGGGAAGGATATAAAACCACCAAACATAAATTCAGCTGTCAAAACCAGCCTAGTCCTCATCAGAAAGAGTTGTCAAAGAGATTAAAAAAAAAAATTCATGCACTTTTAATGGTTTTCCAAATGTTAGCTTCCAATACCGAATCTTAATGGAATTTGAAAAGTATTTCCACTCAAAATTTCAGCCCAACGTATTAAAGTCAATGTGAAGAACAGATTTATTTGTTTCAAATTATTCAATTTTCTTCAATTTTAATGTCTCAAACATAGACTAGCATAAGGAGTTCACCTTCTGCCTCCCATCCCACCTCTCCCAGAATATTTATAAATGTAAATACATTAAAAAGTTATAGTATTAAATATTTTTGAATATTCAGGAATTTTATATTTTTTAATTCACAAAAAAAGAAAGACATTTTAGAGCTATGCTTTCAAAGTGGTATACATCTGCTATTAACAGAAGTTATGCACTGAAATCTGATATACCACTTTGAAAACTTACCAATTAAAAAAAGTCATTTTTTACCTCTTCTTGTCCAAATTGCTCCATGGAATCACAGTAAACTTCACTGTCTGAATCACTCGTCAAATGTTGAATTCCTGAAACATCTTCAACATGATCATCATTTATATCTAAATATAAACAAATGCCCACGTAGAATAATTAATTTCTCTGATTGAAGAAAAATGCATTTATTCATCTTCAAAACTGATCAGTTCTCTATTATTTTCATACTGGGAGACAAATTTGATTTACCAAGCCATACTTAATTCTTTTAACTTACAAAAAGTTTAAATTCAGTCATTTTTATTAAAAAGGTTACGAAGTATTTTATCATGAATTATACAAAGACACTGTGCAGACCAAACTTGTAAAAACCTAGCAATTTTATAAGAAAAACCTGACTACCAGCTAGGACGCAAAATTTGGGACACAACTTTGCAAGTTTGATTGTTGTATTAGTTCTTTTTTTCTTTTTTCTTTTTTCTTTTTTAACTTCACACCTCTCGGTTTTATTAGAAAATGTTTGCTGGGCTCCACTGTGTGCTGGGCATTGAATGGGTGTGGGCGCCAGGCTGGGGTCCTCCAGCCCTGGCCTCTTTGAGATGACTCCATCCTCCACTCCCACCCCAGACTGAAATATAAGATTTCAAGGTGAGATTCCAGGCCAGGCCAACAAGGCTTTTTCGCCTTTCGGGTGGTAATTCAGGAAAAGGGCAACATCAGAAAGCGAGCTCTGGAGGTCTGCAGTCAGATGCAGTAGAGGCCGCATCCGCGGCCCTGCTCGGCCTTTGGCAAGGCACCGCCCTAAGGGAAGGAAAAGAACCTTCCAAGCTATACTTAAATCAGTTTTCCCGCACGACCGCCGCACCTCTTCCCGCCAGCACTACTGCTGGTCCAGAGGCCACAAGGCAGCCTAGAAACCGCACAGCGAGTTGCTGCGACTTGGCGTGTGCGCGGCGACCCACCGGGAGGCAGGTGCGGCAGCGGGAAGGAAGGGCCGGGCCGAGGACGCCTGGCCGGGGCTCGGCTCCGCCTGCTGGAAGGAGCGGCCGGGCAGGTGCGCACAGGAGTGCTCGGTAACGTTTACCGCTGACACGGGCTCAGTACACGTTCGGCAGCGGCCGGAGCTCCCCGCTGCCTACGGACCCGTCGGGGTCTACGTGGACAGCGTCCCTAGTTCCTCAGCCCGGGGGCGGTGCTGTACCCCTCTCCCCACCCTGGGACTCGAGGACCAGGCATCCTGGGGCAGGGGAGAGGCGGGGAGGGGTGGGACCGTTCCGGGAAGGCGGGAGCATCCCAGCAGGGGTGCGGTGGGGGTGTCCCGGGAGGGGAGGCGTAGGTGGGGAGAGGGGAGGCGTAGGTGGGGAAAGAGGGACGCAGTGGGGGGGTCCTCCGCCCCCGCCTGCTGCAGGCCTCACCTCCAGAAATAGTATTTCTAGGTTTCTCCTGTGACTCGCAGCGATGTTAACAACCCACTGTATCCATCCTCTAGGCTCACCTCTAAGAGCTCTAACTTATGAAAAGCCTGTAACTTACCTCGCTGACCAGAGAATAAATGTACAGTAACATTAGAAGTCTGAGTTAAAAGACACATCAGTAATACAAGTAAAAATTTGAGAGATTTCATTTTAAAATGCCATCCAAAAATACAATAAATTGTCTCAAGAAAAATACAAAAGGCCTGGCCCTAATTCAGTCTTTCAAATCTATAAACTCTTACAATATTAGTAAACCCTAAGATCTTACTGAATAAGAGGTTTTTTAAAAATTCTAAACTGTTCTGAAATATCCTAAAATTATTAAAAGAATATTATATTTAGGATATTAAAAAATCCTAAAACTATTAAAAGAATATTTAATTCATAGGAAGGAAGCCGGGGAAACAATTTTGATGGGACAATACCTTGTTGAATGCAGACAGCAGTCTGCCCAGTTTGCTCCAAGTTTTGATCTACATGTTTTACTTCCTCAGCGTCTTTGCCGTCCTGGGAGGAGCTGGCAGGAATGTCCTTCTGTACCCCCTGAACAATGCTGTCTTTATCATAGCCATTAGTGACAACGATTTCCAAATTCTTGTGGTCTGCAGATTTCTTCATCATTCCCTTATCTTGTATGTGAAAATGGAGAGATTCATAAAAGTTCACTGTAGGAAAACTTCTGTACACAATGTTCTAATTTCAAATAGTCACTTCCCCAATCTAACATAATCCCTTTGAAGGGTTTCTTACTTGGATCAGAGAGATGCGGTACTCTTTGAAAAGAAGTTAATTATATGCTGAGAGCTCACCCAAACTGTGTGCTTTAGGGAAAAAAAAAAAACCCAAAACAACAAAAAAACAAACAAAAAACTGCTTTAGTTCCCTGTGAATCTTCTAGAACCCCTTTTAAAGGATAATCTCTCAAGGTGTTTTCACTGTCAGGCATAGGCCAATGGCTCTATGAGACCCTGCCACACAGAGAGGTCTACATGGCCAATACCAAGAGCCTTCGTAGAAGGTATTATTTGTGAGACTTTACTGGAAAGTGAAGGCAAAACTAAGTTGTATGGCTTGTTTTAGTGTCTCTCTGCCTCCTCTTTCTAAAATAATCACCCCAAGAATCACTGGTACTCTTACTCACAAGGCCACCCTAATTCCAATGTTCCCTCTTTATCAGAATTTCTGCCTATATCCTATTCTCTGGAATCCATTCTGTTCTTGACAAGATACTGAGAGTTTAACTGTGTCTCTTCTCCTTGGTAGCATATGCATAGTCATACTAGAAACCATACCTTAAATGAATACATGTCTAATGCACCATTTCCGGCATCACGATCAGAGGAGTGGCCTCTTTCTGTTAGCCTTCAATGAACATCTATCCATCTATGCACAAGGCTGGCTATCCCTGAACTCTGTAGTTAGAGCCTCTTACAACACAATAAACCTAGTGAACAGCCCACATCCCACTGTGTGGACTAATCACACACGGTGCCAAATCAGTGCAAACCTCTCCATGGCCTCTCATCTTAGTTAATGTAAAATTATTAGCCCGTCATCCGAAGGTTACCATTATCACATTGCTCTGCTCCTTTTACTTCTTCTTGGGCCTCTTCTTCCTCAGACTCAGCTCCACTATCGCTGCTTTCAGCTTTACCATTAACAGTTTTGGCATTTGGAGTAGAAGTCAGAGCATTACCAAGATCTAAAATACGAAATGACCACTTAATCTTTAATGCTGTAATATACAATGATGTTGATATTTACAAACAATTCTGTAATCACACATAACTAATAAAATAATCTTGAAGGAAAAAGTTAGAATTTTGATATATAATTAATAATATTATTTTCTTTGACTGTAAATATACATACACTACATAAATGCCTCCAGTTAGCTACAACAAAATGATAAAGCTATCTTAAATCCTTTCCGAACAAGGCAGAGGATAAATTATTTTTAAGGTAACATCGACCAAAATGTAAAGTTAGAGATGATCTTCTTTATATGCAGTAAATGAAGAGACAGGTGCTATATGCTAGCATGCTGAAAACATAAATATCTTTGACCCTAAAAACAATCTTATCAATATTATAGTTGGATTACACTTAAAAGTTTTTACCCTTTTATTGCCTTTAGGGCTTCAGGTGCATAACTTCCATTATTATCTCTTTACATTTAAGCTTTTTTTTTTACTTTTTAAAAAGCATCATTAATGTGGTCAATCACTTAAAAAGGCAAAACGTCCTATTACCTAAACTCATAAACTCATCTTGAGAGTAAATACATTGGAACTCCTCAAACATTAATATGGATAGGAATCACCAGGGATCTAGCTAAAACGCAGATTGTGATTCAGCAAGCCTGAGGCAATCTAAGATTGTGGTTTCCCATAAGGCTCCCTCCCATGTGATGCCAATGCTGTTGATTACTGGACCACATTTTGAGATACAGAGAATTATATTTCCATTAACTCTTTGAGATACTGAAAGCATCCATAAGTAGCTTTTGGCTAAAAACAATTGTCTTCCCCCACAAGCTTCTGGGCCTTAATTTTCAATTATATAAGTCTATTTTGGGAATCTCCATTCATCTTAAACAGTCAGGCCTATATTCTTAAGTCTCCCTAAATAACGGAACTAATGAGTAAAAATTCAGCTCTCTCGTAGGCATTGTGCTCTATCTGAGAACCATGATGGCAGCACACCTTCTCAATCTCCCTTACTCTCCCTCAACAACCAGAAAAGGCAATAACAACTGACGAAAAAATAAAAATAAAAAACAGAAACACCCACCACCCAGACACCTTCAACAAAACAAAGCGACAGGGAAACCCCTCAAATCCCCATCAAATGGATGGTTGTAGCAAGACTACATGACAGCAACAAAAGTAGCATCATAGCAGCTCTGTGATGAGAGTTGCAGAAAGCACTCAGAATTACTAATAAGCCCTACTCAGCATCCAAACATCCATGTGGTTCACCATGTTAACAGACTAAAGGACAAAAGCCACATGACTATCATAACAGATGCAGAAAAAGCACTTGACATACATAACCCAACACTTTCACAAATACAATGCTGAAGGAACTGAGAATGCAAGAGAATTTCCACAATCTGATAAAGCGCATCTTTAAAAACTCACAACTACAATCATACTTAATGTTAACAGACTGAATGTTTTGTTCCTAAAACAGGGAACAAGACAAAGATGTCTGCTTTTGCCCACTCTATTTAATATTGTACTGGAAGTTCTAACTAGGGCAATCACGCAAGAAAAATAAATAAAAGGTAATCAGTCTAGAAAGGAAGTAAAATGATCCCTGCAGATGGCATGCTATTATTGTACATAGAAAACCCTCAGTAATCCACAAAAAAAAACATTTATTAGAACTAATAAATGGTTCAGCAGGGTTGTAACCTACAAGATCAATATATAAAAATCAATTGTTTTTCTATAAGCTACCAATGAACAACCCAAAAATGAAATCAGAAAACAATTCAATTACAATAGCAGCAAAAAGAATAAAATACCTAGCAATACATTTGACAAAAGAAGGTATAAAAACTAAACACTGCAAATAAAAACACATTGCTGAAAGAAATGAAAGAAGATCTAAATAAATAAGTGGAAGACAATATCGTTGAGATGACAACACTCCCCCAAATTATCTACAATTCATTGCAACCCCTAACAAAATCCCAGCTGGCCATCTTTGCAAAAATTGACAAGCTGATTCTGAAATTCAAAGAAACGCAAGGGATCTTGAAAAAGAACAAAATTGGACAGCTCACACTTCCTGAATTCAAAACTTATTATGTATAAATATTCTGAAAACGCTCATGTGACATAGATACTCTGTTCTACTGGGCCTAAAGGGCTACGTTTAACAAGATTCTTTGTTTAAAAAAAACCCCAAGATTGCAAACTGTCTTGCAATTTGGTAATATCTTACAGAATTGGAAACACCCATCGAACGCCTGCATCCTTTAATCCAGAAATTACATTTCTAATATAATTTCTTACAGCTATATTTCCACATATATAAAATGACATCTGTACATGGTAACTTTCAGCAAC